TTTTTAGTTCGATACGAGATAGCTGTATCATCTTTGACAAAAGTATGATTTTATAATCGTTTTTATTTGGAGACGAAGTAAGAAAAACGTTTATGGGTGCCAAGTTCACAAGCATGGACTGGGATGGTTGGTCTTATGTGTCAATTTGACTAAACCATAGTACCTACTTATTTAATCAAACACTAATTTATACGTTGCTATGATAATATTTTGCAGTTGTGGTTAAAATCTGATGTCAGTTGATTTTTTCTTTTTTTTTTTTTTTTTTTTTTGAGATAGAATCTCACTTTGTCACCCAGGCTGGAGGGCAATGGCACGATCTCGGCTCACTGCAACCTCCTCCTCCTGGGTTCAACCAATTCTCCTGCCTCAGCCTCCAGAGTAGCTGAGATTACAGGCGCCCAGCTAATTTTGTATTTTTAGTAGAGACAGTGTTTGATCATGTTGGTCAGGCTGGTCTCAAACTCCTGACCTCAGGTGATTCACCCGCCTCGGCTTCCCAAAGTTCTAGGATTATAAGAGTGAGCTGCTGTGCCCAGTCTCAGTTGATTTTATGAAAAGGAAATTACCCTCAAAAATGTGAGTAATACTTTTTGAATCAGTTGAAGGCCTTTGGGCAAAATGTGAGACTTTCAAGAGAAGAAAAAATTCTGCCTCAAGATGACAGTAGCAACTACAGTTTAGGTTTCCGGTCTGCCAGCCTGACCTATGGATTTTAGACTGAAGACTACAACGTTGTGTCTTTCCAGCCTGCCAGCCTTCTGAGGTGTAATTTGTGATATTAATAACATAAAACGAGGGGTGGAAAAAAACGTAAAGAAGCAGAGTTTTCATACTTGATTTAAGTTGTTTTCGATTCAAGATTGCTATAACTATATTGTTACATGTAATACCACAGTAATCACAAGGAAAATATGCATAAAGTATACAGAAAAGAAAGTGAGAATGCAATTGAAACATATCACTAGAAAAAAATCAACTAAACACAAGGAAGGTTGGAATGAAGGAGATGAGGGAGGAAACAGCTATAAGACATGCATAAAACCAACATCACAATTACAGAATTAAGTCCTTCCCTATCAGTAATTACTTTAAATGTAAATGTATTAAACTCCACAATCAGAACTCAGAGATTATCACAATGGATAGAATAAAAAGAATCTTACCATATGCTGGCTATAAGATACTCACTTTGAATCTAAGAACACACACAAGTTGAAAGTGGAAGGATAGAAAAGATATTCATCAAAATAGTAACTAAGAATTTTTTTCTTATTTTAAAATATATTTTTTTCTTCTTAATTTTTGTGGGTACATAGTAGGTATATACATTTATAGGTTACAAGAGATAGTTTGATACAGGCATACAATGTATACTAATCACATCAGTACCAATGGGGTATCCATCCCCTCAAGCATTTTATCCTTTGTGTTTCAAACACTCTGATTATACTCTAAGTTATTTTAAATATACAATTAAGTTATTTTTTACTACAGCCATCCTGTTGTGCTAGCAAATACTAGGTCTTATTCATTCCTTCTAACTACTTTTTAGTACCTGTTAACTAACCATCCCTACTTCCTCCCCATCCCCTAGTATTCTTTCCATCCTCTGGTAACCACCCAACTAAGAATTTTTTATGATATCTCATAGGGTTCATGTGTTGGCTGGACTTAGATGATGGCCTGAGAGTTTTACATGGTTTAGAGATTGAAGTAGAAGGAACCAGATGCAAGCAGGATGGTTAACAGCAGTGCCCAGAACTGACACAACCACACTTTTGTCATATTTTATTGGCTAACGCAGATATCAGATCTGCTCATGTTTAAGGGGGTGGAGAGACCTTACCTCTCGATGAGGAAATGGTGAGTCAAACTAAAGAAAACCAAGTGCGATGGAAGATATTTCTGAAGCCCTCTTGGAAAAATACATGGAATCCAAAACATCCTATCTGCCAAAAGGGAAGAACACCATCAAGCTTTATCCCTCAATTTTAAGCTTTGTGACTCTATAAGATCCTGGGGAAGAACAATGTCTTAGGAAGCAGGTGTGGAGTCGAAGCTCTAAATATAGCCCCATCTGTAGCCACACTGTCACTTTATTTTGATGAAATTTTATGTCATTTTTGATAAAATGGGGACCCACAAATCTCTCTTCAGGGATCTCTCCAGTAGCAGGGATAATATGCTTCCCTCCTCCACAGTTCTGCTTTACAGATAAGGGGTCCATGTCTGTTTCAATTATTTAAAACACCAGAGACTTGGATGCATGCATGCCACAAAAGGTGAAAGAATGCTCTGTCACTTTTTCTACTCTCACTCACTGCACCCTGAACAAACACCTGCTCTACCCTGACCTTTTGAATGGGGAGGCGGATCGCACTCCTGCCTAACCTTCAAGCTTCCAGAGCCAAACCTGCTGCCCAAACAGCAGGGTTCACTATAAAGACTAAATCCTACATGGAAAGCTCTCCATTCAGCCACCATGGCAGAAACTGAATCCCATGGAAAGGCCTAGAGTCACTCTGCCTTAAGAGGTCCGTTGTCATGTTCCTTCTGCCAAAATGAAGCCAACATATTCATGAAAATATGGGGTTTTGATAAGTAAAAATGATTACTACAAAAATTTAACAAATATGTTCTTTTTGTTACATCAACTTTTTGTCCTCCAAGTACAAAGAAAAGAAGCTTGCACAGCAGGAGAAGTTGTTTCCTCTTGAAAGAAGCCTCTTTCCAGTTGAAAAGCTGGAACAGGAGTTGCTAGAATGGAGCAAGACTTTCAGGTAGGACACAGCACTGGGTCTTGGGGCAGCCAGAGTTAGGGAGGGCTTACCTTCTGGGTGATACCAAGCTTTGGTTCACCTTTTTTTTTCTTCTTATTGCAAGAACATAATTTCAGAGTATCAAGAGACAGAGTCAAGCAAAAGAGATTTACTCTATTTTATTCTTTAGAAAATGAAATCTCAGGATAATATAAACTGTTATGGGCTAAATTGTATCCCCTCAAAATTGGCATGTTGATGTTCTAAACCTCACTAACTCAGAAAGTGACTGCATTTGGAGAGGTCTTTAAGGAGGTCATTAGTAAAATGAGGACATATGAGTGGGCCCTAATTCAATATGACTGGTGTCCTTATAAAAAGAGAAGATTAGGATACAGACATGCAGAAGAATGACCATATGAAGATACAGAGAGAACACATCTACAAGCCAAAGAAAGAAGCCTTAGAAGAAATCAGCACTGCCAACATCATCACCTTTGACTTCCAGCCTCCAGAACTGTGACACAATACATTTCTGTTGTTTAAGTCACCCAGTGTGTGGTACTTTGTTATGGTCACCTTAGCAAATTAAAACAAACACATGACCCTGTGACATGGTAAAAGCCTCATAAAACTGCATACCTCAACCATACCTTGGCTTTCTGTTGAAACTTTCTGTAACCCTGATGTGACAGGTAAGCAGCCCAAACCCATGCTATCTTGGCTTCTTAGACTTGTAATAAATAAAGTCTGTAATTTCCACCCATACCAAGACACTGTGTAAACTAATGCTTATCTTGACTTCTGTGACCACTTAAGTAACAATCAGAATGTCCAAAGTCCCCTGGCCCTTGGAGTGTCCGGAGCCCCTCACCCTCATCTCCACCCAGGAGGTGATTTACAGAATCCACTGGCCCACGGAATGTCTGAAGCCCCTCATCCACATCCCTGCCCCTCAGCCTCACCCCGAGGTGGTTTATAGGTATAAAAGGTCTTGATACGCTCCTTTTGGGGCCACGAGTTGGAGAGACTCGAGTCCTACATGGCCACCGGCAATAAAGACCCTGCAATTTAGCATACTTTTGTCTTGGTGTGACTTTCTATGCTCACTCCAGTACAACATTTTGGAGGTCCCACCAAGATTTATCTTGGTCCATCACCAGACAAAAGCCTTCTCAGAGTCTCACCTGGGAGGCCGCTCCCACCTCAGGGACCTCTAGGGGAGGCACCCCTTGAGACGTTCCAGGGCCCCAGAGTTCTGGCCCCATGGAGGACGGTAGACTGCCCCCCTGACATTCACCTGAAATTCCTCAGGGTCCCGAGAACCTGCGGAGATAAGTCAGGTCTGGAAATCAGGGATCCAGTCCATCGGGGGGGGCCTGAGTTGGGGGACTGGACACGGTCATTGCAACTCTGACCAGGCAAGCCTATCATGAGACATCACTGGAGGCTCAGGTTGCCTCAATGGAGGCTCGGGTAATTTAGTTTTCGATTGTTTTCCATAACCTTGGTGTGAGTGAGAGATTGAGTGTGTATATATGTAGTCCCACAGCTGGAAGGCTACAGGGCTTGTATGGGCCTTCACCTGTGGTTTTATGGGGACTTCATAAGGCATAATAGTGATTCATCTCAGGACTGAAAATTCTGAGGTGACCAGGCCCGGGGTTTATACAGGTACACCTTACCCAAGACGCTCTGAAACATTCCTCTGGGGACATGTGGCCGGGCAGGCATGAGTCTGGTCTCCCATCTGGGGGGCACCCATCCTTTGTCTGTCAATCCTATATGTGATTCTGTCTTTATTGTAGATTCACCAGTTTTGTTAGACTCCTGTTGGCTGATATACAGTGGTTTAAACCTGTTACTCTTGAGGTGGATAATATTCTCCATTGGCTAAGTGACCATTGACTTCAAGGAACTCTAATTGAGTTTAAACCCCTGGAAATAACTCTGTTCTCTTTCCTTTTCTTCTTATTCTATCATTGAGGCCTCATTCTTCCTTTTTATTATGTCTGAGAGAAAATTCTGCCCCTGACAACTTGGGTATAATTTTTTTCTCTGTCTTAAGGAGTCAAACTTTAAATAAGAAACTACCAGCCCACTTTGCCCATTTAGGGTAAAAAAAGGAGTAATTGTCTCTTCTGTCAAAAAAAAAAGAGACAGAGGAAGACAGAAAAGAAAGTAGGGAGGCCGGGCGCGGTGGCTCAAGCCTGTAATCCCAGCACTTTGGGAGGCCGAGGCGGGTGGATCACGAGGTCAAGAGATCGAGACCATCCTGGTCAACATGGTGAAACCCCGTCTCTACTAAAAATACAAAAAATCAGCTGGGCATGGTGGCGTGTGCCTGTAATCCCAGCTACTCAGGAGGCTGAGGCAGGAGAATTGCCTGAACCCAGGAGGCGGAGGTTGCGGTGAGCCGAGATCGTGCCATTGCACTCCAGCCTGGGTAACAAGAGCGAAACTCCGTCTCAAAAAAAAAAAAAAAAAAAAAGAAAAGAAAGTAGGGGAGCGGAAGAGGAGAGAGGAGACAGAGATGAGAGGAGAGAGGAGAAAGTAGGAGAGAGAAAGGAGACAGACAGGAAGAGAGACAAGAAAGTAGGGGAGGGAAAGAGGAGAGAGGAGACAGAGAAAAGAGAGAGAAAAAGTAGACAGAGAAGAGAGGAGAGAGGAGAAAGAGAGGAAAGAGGAGACAGAGGAAAAGAAAAAAAAGAGAGAGATAGGGAGAGAGAAATTTAATGCTTTTTAGGGTGTCTGTGTCAAGGCGACCAAAAGCTGCAGGGGCGGGGATCTCACAGCTGACCAAGTGGCTGTGAGCTCTGCTTTAAACTAATGGGAAAAGTGTTTCTTTTTTTCTTTCTCTGCCAGCCGCCAGCCCTGCCCAGCTTTCAGGCAGACCACACTGCCTCAGGGTGCAGTATTTGCATCCAAAAATACGGCAGAAAGCTCTCTGACTCTTTGTAATGCAAGTGATCTGTTAGCACAGTAGTTAAGGTATAGGGCCTGCCACTGCAAGGTTGTTGGTTCAAATCTTCAGTGAAGCCAGTCTTAAATTAGTGAAAGCTCTTGGGGGGAAATTCAAAAACTAAAGGAAAAATCCAACGGGGTCGTCTAGCTCCCAGCCTTGTACCCCCCTCCAATGCATGACGGCCAACTTCAAGGTTGGGTTTTCAGGCCAATATGGGGTGAAATTAACCTCTGGAAAACTGTGCTCTTTATGTAAACTAGAATGGCCATATTTTGGAGTTGAGTGGCCTGACACTGAGACCTATGACTCAAAAAAAAAAAAAAAAAATTACCCAGGCGGTATGGAAAATGGTTGCAAGAACTCCTGGACACCCTGACCAGTTTCCATACATTGACCAATCGTTGGATTTAGTCCAACAACCCCCTCTCTGACTAAAGCACTGCATAAAACAGGCTAGACTTCAAGTCATGTTAGCCAGCCCAAAGAAAGCCCCTTCTGGGCCAGCCATCCTCCCTGCCCCAGCGGAGGATCAGGAATTACCTCCACCCTACTCAAGGCCCTCTGAACCAGGGCCTCAGCACCCCTCTGGACAGTACTAGTAACCAAACCTTGTCCTCCCAGCACACCTGCGGTGGGACTCCACACCCACCAGCTGTCCTTCCTCTCTGAGAGGTGCCCCCCAATGGGAGAAGACAATTGGGGTCACCCATTCTTTGTTCACATCCTCTTCTCGTCAAGTGACTTATAACTGGAAGGTGATAGAAATTAAAGAGAGGGCCGAAACATCAAGTGCTGGAACAAACTTTATTAAGAGCAAGGGAAAAGCTACCGGGCTGCACCCAAAGTTGGCGCACAGCACCCCTGGCATGGCCAAGGGGATTTTTACAGCCTGCCAGCAGGCAGATACCTCCAGTGTGAGGGGCTGTGCAGGAGGGGAGGAGCTGGGGAACTGCTGAGTTTAATAGATCTTGGGAGGGGGTCATGCTGGGGAACTGCTGAGATGGTGAGAAGGGGAGGTTTAGGGACCTGCTGAGATGGAAAGTTCCCTGGGAGGGGTCGTGCTGGGAGGCTGGGGAACTTGAGGTGGTGGCGGGGTTTTAAAATAGAGTAAGCTCTGTCAGAAGGCTCAGCATTCCCCATTCTCTGAGAAGCCCCAGGCTTTGACAGGTCTCTTGAAATCTCTACTCCAGACTCATCACCCCACTTGGGACGACTGCCAACAATTATTACTGATTCCATTTACCACAGTGGAAAGAGGCAGAACTAGACAGGAAACCCTGAAAGCCATCATAGATCCAAGGGGAGGAACAGTAAAGAGAACCGGGACTGAATTGAAAAGGCTTTTCCCTCTACCCGACCCCCATAGGACCCCAACACCTTGGGGGGTCACCAGGCTCTGAACACTTTTTACTGGTATCTTTTAGCAGGGGTTAAGAGGGTGGCTAGGAGGCCCATCAACCTCTCCAAGGTAGAAACAGTGACTCAGGGTCCACAGGAGTTGCTGGCTGCTTTCCTGGAGCGCCTATAAGAGGTGTACTGTACGTATACTCCTATAAACCTGAGGCCCCAGAAAATCAATAGGCTGTTAACTTGGCCTTTGTCTCCCAGTCAGCCCCAGGCATCAGGAAAAAGTTACAAAAACTAGATGGATTCTAGGGAATGAATTTGATCAATTGCTGGAAATCACCCAGAAGGTTTCCAATAACAGGGATGCTCCTGGAGCCATACAAGACAAAAAAGGTTACTAAGGCAGTAATAGCAGCCCTGCAGAAGACACAAGTCATTCCATGAGGGCAGGGGGCCTCCCAAAAGGGCCTCTGGGGTCCCTGGTGCTTGTTAGGAAAAAACCAATGTGCGTACTGTAAAGAATAGAAACATTAAAAAAAAAAAAAAAAAAGTGCCCCGAGAGAAAAAGATGAGTAACTGCTCAGGAAAAGCCACCGAGGGGTATCCTCAATTTAGAAGGTCAGGATTGACGGGCTGGGGCTCTTATTTACCAAGCCCCCAGGAGCCCAGGATTACTTTAAGAGTTGTGGACAAACCTGTCAGCTTCTTAGTGGACACTGAGGTGGCCCACTCGGTCCTTAGCCTCTGGGACCACTATCCAGTAAAAAACAATTATCCAGGGGGCCACAGGAAAAACCACAAGAAGCCCTTGGACCTCCAACTGATTCGTTGATCTAGGAAATGGCACCTTCACCCACTCCTTCTTGGTCATTCCAGAGTGTCCATACCCACTGCTAGGATGGGACTTACTTCACAAACTTCAAGCAAATATTTCTTTTGGTGAGGGTCAGGCTTGCCTCTCAATTCCTCCTCCCTTGGCATCAGGGCGACCTCAGCAAATCCTCATCACCTGTGCTCTGGCAGACGAGTATCTCTTGCAGAAAGCTTTACCCTCAGAGACAGATCAACCACCAACATCAGACCTCCTCCACCAGTTCCAAGAGAATGTACCCAGAGTGTGGGCTGAGACAATTCCCCAGGCTTGGCAAGTCCCCGTACCCCAGTCACGGTCCAGCTATTGCAATGGCAACTCCAGTCCAGGTACAACAATATCCCATGAGCCAGGAAGCCAGACGGGGAATTGCTCCACATATATCCAGACTCCTGAAAGGAGGGATCCTTACTACCTGTAAGTCCCCCTGGAATACCCCATTGCTCCCCATCTTAAAACCAGACACAAAGGACTATCAGCCTTTACAGGACTTAAGGGAGGTAAACAAATGAGTGAAGACTGTCCACCCTACAGTTCCAAATCTGTACACCCTCCTAAGTCTCTTGGCCTGGAACACCACCATTACACTGTCCTGGATCTCAAGGATGCAGTCTTTTGCATCCCACTGGCCCCGGTTAGTCAGCCTGTATTTGCTTTTAAATAGACGGACCCTAATACTGCGGTCTTGGGGCAACTCACTTGGACAAGGCTGCCTCATGGGTTCAAAAACTCCCCCACTCTGTTTGATGAGGCACTTAGCCAAGATCTTGCTGCCTTCTGAGCTGAGTTCCCTGAGTGTGCGCTACTCCAATATGTGGATGACTTACTATTGGCTACAAAAACCCAGGAGGCTTGTAAAGAGACCACCCAGTCACTATTAAAGACCCTACAGACTTTGGGTTACCGGGTCTCAGCTAAAAAGGCCCAACTCTGCCAACCGAAAGTTACTTAGTACCTGGGCTATATCATAGAGAAGGGCAACCCGGCACTGGCACCCAGCTGAGTCCAAGTGGTGCTGCCAATACCCACCCCCACCAATAAACGCCAAGTTTGAGAATTCCTTGGGGCAGTAGGGTACTGCAGGCTATGGATTTTGGAATTCGCCAAGTTAGCCAAGCCCCTGTATGCCTGCACTGGAGGAAATCAGCCCTTGGCTTTTGAGAAGCTCAAGACTGCCCTAACTACAGCCCCAGCCTTGGCCTTGCCAGACATCTCTAAACCCTTCTGGTTGTTTGTGCATGAAAAACAGGGAGTCGCTAAGGGGGTGCTGACCCAGACATTGGGACCACGGTCCCAGCCAGTCACCTACCTTTCAAAAAGACTTGATCCCATAGCCTCTGCATAACCAGCTTGTCTGAGGTCGGTGGCAGCTACAGCCCTGCTAGTCAAGGAGGGGGACAAACGAACCTTGGGGCAGGAGTTAAATTTAGTGGCACCCCATGCGGTGGAGTCACTACTCCTTGGAGCTCTGGGAAAATGGATGTCAAATGCCCGCATAGTTCAATATCAGGCCTTACTTTTGGACCAGCCCCGCATAAAGTTTTTAAAGGCTACAGTTTTAAACCCCACCACGCTGCTACCAGACAGCGAGCCGGAGGAGCCCATACACGACTGCCAACAGATGATGGACATCCTCCACGCAGCTCGAACGGACCTCACTGACGTCCCCCTGCAGAACCCAGAGGAGGTACTGTATACGGATGGCAGCAGTTTCATGGTCGACGTAGTCAGTTATGCCAGGGCAGCTGTAGTCACCCCAGAGCGGGTTGTCTGGGCCCAGGCTCTTCCACATGGAACCTCGGCCCAAAAGGCAGAACTCATAGCTCTGACAAAGGCCTTAGACTGGGCTGAGGGAAAAACTGTCAACATCTACACGGATGGCCGGTATGCCTTTGCTATGGCTCATGTACATGGAGCCATTTATAAAGAAAGAGGACTACTTACCTCTGAGGGAAAAACCATCAAAAATAAAGAAGAACTCCTAGCCCTACTAGAGGCTATATGGAAGCCCAAGGCAGTGGCATTAATACACTGCAAAGGACACCAGAAGGGAGATTCACCAGAGGCGAGGGGAAACAGGGCGGCTGACCTACAAGCCAGGCAGGCAGCCTTGGGACCAGTAAAACCTCTGACTCTTCTTGTGACTCTGCCGGCCCCAATCCTGTCCCCTGCCCCTACGTACTCACCTGATGAAGAAAACTTGGCTAAAAAGCAAGGGGGCACATAAGATTCCACAGGATGGTGGATTCTACCAGACACAAGGATTGTGGTCCCCGAGGTTCTAGGACAGGCCCTAGTTTAGGACACACACCCGGCCACTCTTTTAGGACAGACCAAACTAGCTGAGCTGCTAAAAGCCAAATACTACATTCCCCACTTACATTAACTTATCAAGAAAATTACTACCCAGTGTGATGTATGTGCCCGAGTAAATCCGGGAGGGAACAGGTCTAGCCAGGCAAGAGTGAGACTCAGAGGCACCAGCCCTGGGGAGCACTGGGAAGTAGATTTCACTGAGATAAAACCCCCAGCAAATGGCTATAAATGTCTCCTGGTGTTTATAGATAAGTTCTCTGGATGGGTCGAGGCCTTCCTCACTAGGTCTTAGACTGCTTTGGTGGTCACAGAAAAAACTATTACAGAACCTTATTCCTCGGTTCAACCTCCCGCTAATGCTGGGGTCAGACAATGGGCCCGCTTTTACTGCACAAATTTTCAGGGCCTAGCCAAGGCCCTGGGTATATCCTGGAAATTACACTGCGCCTGTCATCCCCAGAGTTCAGGGCAAGTCGAATGAATGAACCGGACCTTTAAAGAAACCCTGACAAAGTTTATCCTAGAGACCGGTGAAAACTGGGTCAGCCTGCTTCCTTTTGTCCTTCTCCATGTCCGATGCACACCCTATCAGAAAGCCTTCTCCCCATTTGAAATCATGTTAGGCAGGTCCCCTCCCTTACTCCCCAGACTCATGGATACCACGCATGCTGAAGTCCATAACTACATACTCCTTAAGTCCTTACAGGCGCTCCAGTCCCAGGTACAGCAGCTCATTAAGGACACCCGTCCCACCCCATTAGACTTCGAAGACCAGCAGACACACCCCTTTCAACCCGGAGACTCTGTCCTTGTTAAAAGATTTGCCACCTCTGGCCCCACCCCCCATTGGAAGGGACCCCACATGGTTACCTTAACCACATCCACCACACTCAAGTTGGACAGACTAACGGCCTGGATTCATCACACCCACGTCAAGACTGCCCCACCGGAAGGACAATGGAGCATCAAACACTCATGCCCCTGATTCACTAAAGCTAAGACTTGTGCGATCTTTGTGGTCACCACCCTCGCCACCCTAATCTGTACTGTAAATCCCTATAACAAACCCCACTTAGAACAAACAAACAATACTAACCTACTGGAGGAATTAATTATTTAATTCCTGTAACTAAAACAAGGGGGAAATGTGACATGATAAAAGCCCCATAAAACCGCATACCTCAACCATACCTCAGCTTTCTGTTGAAGTTGCTCTCTGTAACCCCTAATGTGACAGGCAAGCAGTCCAAACCCATGCCATCTTGGCCCCTACGACTTGTAATAAGTAATGAAAGTCTGTAATTTCCACCTTACCCAGGCAATGTGTAAACCAACACTTATCTTGACTTCTGTGAACCACTTAAATAACAATCGAAATGTCCAAAGTCCCCTGGCTCTTGGAACGTCTGAAGCCCCTCACCCTCACCCCCACCCAGGAGGTGGTTTACAGAATGTCCAAAGCCCCTCGCCCCCACCCCTGCCCAGGAGGTGGTTTACGGGCATAAAAGGTCTTGACACCCTCCTTTCAGGGCTACGGGTTGGAGAGACTTGAGTCCTCCGTGGCCACCGGCCATAAAGACTACAATTTGGCATTATTTGTCTTGGTGTTGACTTTCTAAGCTTGCTCTGGTACAATAACAACATGGCCATTTCTCTAAATTCCTGAGGATGTGGCCAACATATGTAACAGAGCACAGGGAGATGCCTTGAACAGAGTTCCATGGAAGGGTGGCTGGTGTCCTCTAGACCTTTTGCCTACACCTGCTGGCCTTTCTTTAGCATGGAATGACCCAGAGACAGCCACATGTTAAGCTTGGATCCTAAACCAAAGTGTGTGAGGGTTTTAGTCCTGGCCAAATGAGCACTGAATTCAAGAGAGAGCAGGAAACCTTCTAAATATTGGGACACTTTACTCCTGAACCTTGAATCCTGGAAGCTGGCTTCTGGCCAGGGATGCAGGTGTCATTATATCTGATCAACCTCTGTGAGGCCTCTTGTCCCTCTTTCTACCTCCATTAATCCCAGAACAGATAGAAACATTCTGCCTTCTTTAGTGTCTCTTGCTATAAAATTCAATGGCATTTGATTGAATTAATAAATGAAATCAATTTTAATAAAATATTAGGTTTAAAGAATAGCATTTGATATGGGTTTAGAATGAATAAATGGATCAAGTAATGACTTTTGAGAAAATTCATGTAAAATTTATCTTTAATTCCTAATGACATTTTACTAACTTGACTGTGGAATTAATAAATGATTCCAAAGTAATATAAAAAGATGCAATCACAAATGTGTGAATGCACAGAAATGTGAATGAAGGGCAATGCACACAAGGAAAAAAAGTGTGCACATGAAGAAATTCTTAATTGCAGGTTTTTACTGATCCCTCTGGTCAAGATGGGGTAAAAGTTCAAATAGCCGCTTTCCTCACAAGGTCAAATGATTCAGCATAAAATACAACTGATGGAACACAATTATCTGTGTTTTAAATATGTTTGAGAAAGATCAATAGGGAAAAATAATTCAACCATCATTGAGATTTTAATCTATACTAAAATAAAGCCTAGAAATGTATCTTTTTTTCCCAATTGCAATGATTATAGGATTGCAGCATTTGGCTTTCAAAAGACCATTAAAAACAACTCAGGGAAGTTTTCTTAACAAACTCTATAACAGGACCACAACTAAACCTGTGAGCAGTAGTAGAAATAAACAATGACACTGCCTTTAAAATTTCATTTTGAAAGACATGTTTTGAAAGTGCCTGACTGGCTCCTAATTTAACCACTGTCATTTGAGGTCATATGTTAGATTGGCAAAGTCATTGTAACATTTTTTTGTTTGTTTTGAGATGGAGTCTCACTCTGTCACCAAGCTGGAGTGCAGTGGCGCTGTTTCAGCTCACTGCAATCTCTGCCACCAATGAAAGCGATTCTCCTGCCTCAGCCTCCCAAATAGCTGGGACTACAGCCAGGCACCACCACACCCAGCTGATTTTTGTATTTTTAGTAGAGATGGGGTTTCACCAGGTTGGCCAGGATGGTCTCGAGTTCCTGACCTGGTGATCCACCTGCCTCAGCCTCCCAAAGTGCTGGGATTACAGGCATGAGCCACCACTCCAGCCCAAGTAGTTGTAATTTTTACGTATTTTGTTTTTGTAATGCAAGTGCTTCACTCTGCTACCTGATAAAATAAAATGTCAAGCCAGGCATCGTAATGCATGCCTTGTAGTCCCAAGCATTCAAGAGCCTCGGGCAGAAGAAATCCTTCAGCCCAGGAGTTCAAGGCTGCAGCAAGCCATTGAGCCAGGAGACCCAGGCATCTAGGATCATCTCCCCCTTGACTTCCACACTGCATTTCAATAGAAGAAAAGGCTGGCCGACTGGCACCTCCTAAATCACCTTCCTACAGAGAGCAGGCATGGTGTGGGGGAGTCTCTCCGGAAGACAGTTTTTACTTAAACAAGATCAAACCCCTACTCCACTCCTCCATCAACCAAGATCCTTTCACATGTAATCTCTAAAACTGTAAACTCAAGACATTTTCACGTGTAATTTCTTTTTTTTTTTCATTTATTTTATTGCATTTTAGGTTTTGGGGTACATCTGAAGAACATGCAAGATTGTTGCATAGGTATACATGTGGCGATGTGATTTGCTGCCTTCCTCCCCATCACCTACATCTGGCATCTCTCCCCTTGCTATATCTCCCCAACTCCCCACCCCTTACCATACCTCCCCAATTTCCCCCAAGAGACCCTAGTATGTAGTGCTCCCTCCCTGTGTCCATGTGTTCTTATTGTTCAACACCCACCTATGAGCAGAAGATCAAACACCGCATGTTCTCACGTGTAATTTCTAAGGCTGTAAACCTAAGATCCTTTCACGTGTAATATCTGGAGTGTAAGCCTCCATTGGCTGTTAGATAAAGAATTGTTGCCTCCCTCCGGGGCAGTAGTAAAACACCTCATTTCCTTCCTGGATTAGTGTCCAAGAGTAGACCTCTTCTCTCAGCTGATCCTGCATCACTATTATGGTGCCACTGCACTCCAGCCTGGGCAAGAGAGTGAGAATAAAATGTTAATGCAAAATGTTAGTGTTAGCAGTTCAGCCTTGAATGATTATGTGAGATCCTGTTTGAGAGAAGCTGTTGTGTACTATGAAGCTTGGGAAATACCAACAAGAAGTAAATGCCTATCTTGTCTCTAATTTACAGACTAAAAGGAAATTACATAAACATTTCATGCTAAGCTAAATCATTGTAGAATTAATGACAAAAAATTATCCCACAAAACATAACCAGCTGCTAGGTGTATCTGAATATTAATTAGAAAAAAAGGTGAATGAAAGACATGTTCTAGGAATAAAAACTGTAAACAAACTGTAAAAGCTTATCACGCCCTTGGCTAGAGTTACACAAAGTTGCTACTTGTCTCTAAATTGAGATGAGCATGGTGGCTACTCCTTAAAGTTGATACAAGGATTAAATGTGTTTTAATGCGTCAAAAGCACCTAGAAAAGTGCCTGAGATGTAGTAAGCTCCAAAGTCTCTGTAAATAAATAAAAAATATATAAAAACAATGCTAAGTTCAAGGTCCTGATCCTCTGCACACACCCAGTGTGTTTAAAATTCTGTTCTTTTCCCCGTCCACCTTCAGTGAAATGTTTCTGATTAACTTAATGAGCTGTGTGAGGTGTTTATCATCTTTTACATTAAACTTGGTGCATTGTACAACGCTCTTATATTGTAATAATTTACCAAGCTAACACAAGCTTACCTTGTTTTTAATTCTTTTTCCCACACAGCATAGAATCATATTTCTATATTTTTAAATTTCATATGATTTAAAAATATTGACACTATAGTAGCCAAACAGTAATAATTATAAGCAGCTTGGATAAAACATTTCAAAGTAGAGAACTAAATTTGAATAAATTTCTCATCTTACAGCAAAATTTCTTATCGAAAACCCCATTGTTTCACATACGAACAAGAATTCAGCATATATTTTTCTATACCTAGACAGAACAGAGATAAACACGGTATTTTTGTATGTTTTGAGTATCTTATTAGTTGCTGAGTTCCAGGAAATCTCAATCCTGAAGAAGCTGAAATTCCATTTTCTCTTGAAATGGGATCTTTCCAAAGTTAATAACGATCAAGCTGTCATTCACATGATGGATGGCTGAACAAAAGGACAGAGACAGCGGAGGCCTCATTTCGTTTTTGTAATGCTGCCTTGTCCCCAACATGGCACTATTTACACTTAAATCAATTAAAATGATGTAAATGTTAAAAGCTGGTTTTTCCAGTTTCTCCCTTGTATTAGCCACATTTCAAGTACTCAGAATTCACAGGTGGCCAGTGACTGCCTAATGAACAGCACAGATATAGGCATTCCGTCACCGCAGAAGGGAGTTAGATATGTTTAAGGACGGAATCCTGTGTATAATTACAGGATGATGACAATTCCAAGTTCCCATTCCAAGTCACGGTCTCTTCTCTGATGAGTGGTGTGGAGGGAGTCCATCTCTTTTGTGAATACAGGTTGTTTTCTGATTATGGATAAGTAGTTAACATTGCTTTTTTTTTTTTTTAAACCGGTTTTACATTGTAAGTTACAACCAAAAGTAAAGGGCATAAATTATATTTACATTTTAACATATGGTTTTAAAGGGAAGATCCATGTGAAAAAGAATCAAAGTCAGAAACAAAAACCCAGAAGTTTTGACCAATTCCCATAGCAATAAAAATCGCTTTGCTGTCCTTAGAGTTCACCCTCATCCCGATTTCATAGGAATCCTGTTCACGTCTTTCTTTAAAGCTATACCCCACTGCATGTATCTATAAAACAACATAGGTTGTCTCAAACATTATACAAATTTTGCATTTTTCATACAAATGGAATCATGCTGTGTGTATGCTCTGAGTTACAAATTAAGAGTCCTTTATTGATTTGCCCGTGACTGAGAGATGGCTAATGCTCAAAATCCTCTCGGTCCCGAGGAAGGGGCCTGATTGTTTTTTATACCTTGATTTAGATAGGGGAGGGGCATGCCTAGCTGAAGCAGAATTTTACAGAAGCAGAAAAGCAGGTTAGAGGAAGGGGCTGCAGGCCCAGGTGGTTTCCATACAATTAGGAAGAAAAGGGACGACCAGGCTCCTTCTACACAATGATCGAAGGGAAACTTTTTTCTTACAATAGCAGTGGGGAGGTGTATGTCAAACAGAATGCAGTACAATGGCTACAAGTGTTAAGAACAGTACACTTCAATGATTCTAAGTGCAGCATGACCCAGTTATGCACCCAAAAGGGCTGTGGTAAGGAGGGGGAAGCCAGGTTGGAGTTTACAGCTAAAATGGAGTCACTTATGTTAGCCCAGGGTAGGTTAGTACATTATAAGACCTTATTTTGGATCAAATGTATGTTTGCTAAGTTGTTATAGGTGTCTGTAGAGTGTTCATCTTTGTTATTTGTAACATTTCATTGAATAAATAAACCATACATTAAATTAAACCTTCTCTCAGTGATGGTCATTTCATTTGTTTTCAGATTTTGAAAATTACAAACAATGCTCATATAAGCCTTCTGGCATATGTATGTTGGTACAATGAGCACATGTCTGTCAAATTATATGCCTAGGAGTGGAATTACTGGTGTGTGTGTGTGTGTGTGTGTGTGTGTGTGTGATATCCCACCCAAAGAGATAATGCCACACTGCTAGACAAAGTGGCTGTGGCAAGTAGTGTGTGGCAGCCGTTGACGGTCCATATTCTCACTAATATTTGGAATAGTCAATAATTTTAATTAAGAAATTCTAGTGGATTTGCCAAAATATCTCATTATGTTTTCTTTATTCATTAAACTTTATTGAGATATAAATCACATACTCTCCACTCATCTAAAATACACAATTCAATGACTTTTCACATATTCAGAGTTTTAAATCAGCATATTTAATTTTAGAACATTTCATCATCCCAAAATAATCCACAGTTTTATAATGTGTCTCTATTCAATGAACTAAATCCATAGATTTTGAGTTTTTATTTTAAAAATTTTTTTTTTCTATCATTGGCAGTTTTCCCAGCTTGACAAGCACTTATTCATGTTCCTTTAAAATTTCTATTTTTTAATAGAGATTTCGTTCAGTAATCAGATTTCGAGAGCACTGACAAATTTTGCCACATTGAGACTTATAATTCATGAATATGGAATGTTTATTTATTAAGTACCCTTTAAATAAAATATTGCTGTTTTTACTCGTGCATCGTTTAGTGGATTTATTCCAAAGATCTTGAAATATTGTGCTAGTGTTCACAGTATCTCTTTCTTTGTTGAATTTCACTGTTGGTTGTGGCATGTATAAATAGAAATAATTTTTATATCTTTTTAATTCATGTATTTTATGTATTCTCTTGCCTGATTGCACTTGCTAGAAATCCATGTAATTTTGAGTGCAATGGAGCGGGCAGGTCTGCTGGTATCTTCTCTGTGCTCTCCTGATCCACACTCCACATACTCTCCCTGCTCCTTGTCCTGGACACTGGGCTCTGTGGCCTGCCCAACCTCCAAGGGCAACCTTGCTGTCTGGCTTTTATTTGGGATCGGCTAAATGGGAGTGTCGCCATGGAGAGGGCGATGGAGGAGCATTGTTGGAGGGATTTCTCCCCCTGGCTTTCAGTACTGACACAGGGAGAAATGAGACATGATTGGCCTGGATTAATTAATACGGAATCTTCACTCAGTATCTCAGATTAAATGTGCTGGTTTGGACACTTAAGAGTGATGTTAATAGTCAGCCAATCAAATAGCCAATTAAAACCTGAATTCAGCCGTGCCCTAGCACAGTGCTTCTCAAATTTGTCTGCACTTTAAATCAAGTGGAAGATTTTAAATAGCCCCAGGTCTAGATCCACACTAAAACCAACTCAATCTACATCATCAAAAGTAGGATCCGGGAAACAGCATTGTTCATAAAACTCTCCAGGTTTGAATCCAATCAGCAGCCAAGTTAAAAAGTAGTGGCTCACAGCAGTGGTTCTCAATATTTGGTGTGTGTCAAAATCATCTGGGAATGGTAGAAAAACTATAGAGGCTCAGATATTATTCTAGTTTAACAGGCTGGAGCCCTAATTATATTAAAAGAAATCATCTCTCCGCATTTTGCCATATGCAGCAGTTTGCGAAAAACACTAGCCTATATCAACAGAATCATATCACAGCCATGCTGCAGAGAAAGGTATCTGAATGCAGCTCAGAGAGATGGGAAAGTGGGGATGTATCCACTATGTGCAATCTGCTTAGCCATCTCCTAACCACATCTCCTTGGAGGGCTGACAGGATGCCCCCTCACCAAGGCATGAAGGTGCCACTTGACACACAGGTATAAAAACTGCTAGGTCTGCTTAACAGTCACCAATCTTGAGTCCTGGGTATTCAGAAATTCTTACCGAGTAGCTACACCAAAACCAGTTGATGTGTCAGAGGTTCTCAAATGAGCAGAAGGCTGGTGCGTTTGAGAAAGGATCCTATAATTTTGTGCTACATATATTCTTTCTACAGGCCTTTCCCAGAGGAACATTTAGTCACTTACCCCTGTCCACTTGGGAATGGAAAAATCCCAGATAATCTGGGTGCTCAACATGTATTTAATTCTGTCAAAGGTTACCCTGTGGTGAATACTTTGTTGAAATCCCCCACTTTTGGGAGGCCGAGGCAGGAGGATCACCTGAGGTCAGGAGTTTGAGACCAGCCTGACCAACATGGAGAAACCCCGTCTCTACTAAAAGTACGGAAAAAAAAAAAAATCAGCCAGGTGTGGTGGTGCATCCCATCTACTCAGTAAGCTAAGGTAGGAGAATTGCTTGAAGCCAGGAGGCGGAGGTTGCGGTGAGCGGAGATTGCACCATTGTACTTCGGCCTGGGCAACAAAAGCAAAACTCTGTCTCAAAAAGCAAACAAACAAACAAAAAACTTTCTCTACACTAAAGCAATGAAGATATTCTACTATATTATTTTAAAGAATGTTTTACAAGAGATGAGTACAATTGAATTTTTCCATACAGACAACGAATTGTATTTAAATTATTTACTAAATAGCTTTCCTTTACCCACTGATCTGTAATGCTACCTCCTCTTTACATATGTTCAGGGCTTTCTATTCTGTTCCAAATATCTAGTCTATTACCCCTGGCTTAACACCTTAACTCTCTTAATTAAAATAACTCTAACATAAAGTCTACTATCTGCTAAAGAAATTCTCTCTGCTTATTTTTCTTATTTAGAGTGTCGTGGTTATTTTTGGTCTTTCCTATTTCTATATAAAGCTTAAATTCAGCTTAATAAGTGTCACAAATGCTTGATAAACATTTGATTAAGATGTATTTGAGCCAGGCGCGGTGGCTCAAGCCTGTAATCCCAGCACTTTGGGAGGCCGAGGCGGGTGGATCACGAGGTCAAGAGATCGAGACCATCCTGGTCAACATGGTGAAACCCCGTCTCTACTAAAAATACAAAAAATTAGCTGGGCATGGTGGCACGTGCTTGTAATCCCAGCTACTCAGGAGGCTGAGGCAGGAGAATTGCCTGAACCCAGGAGGCGGAGGTTGCGGTGAGCCGAGATCGTGCCATTGCGCTCCAGCCTGGGTAACAAGAACGAAACTCCGTCTCAAAAAAAAAAAAAAGATGTATTTGAGTTCTTAGAGCATTGTAGAAAATTAATATCATTACAATACTGAATCATCCAAGCCAGGATCTTGGTAAGTCTATTTGGTTAATTGATTGTCTTTAATTACTGTCTTCTGTAATTACTCAGTAGGGTTTTTTTAATATCCCAATTGATATACGGAAGTTGTCAGGTTTAGTTACATATATGCACTTTTGCTGTATCAATTTTTAAAATTTTCATCTTCTATTTGTGCAAAACACCTCTGTAATTTTTTCTTCCTACCCTGCAAACTATCATATTAACTTCAAGAATATTCTAATCATTTGTATTTGTTGCATTCAGCATATTACCATTTGCAAATTATAAGAGTTCTGAACCTTCTTTTCAAACCTTTTTATGTGTATTTCTTTTCTTCCTTTACGACACTTGGAAGATCTTCAATTACAATGTTTAATAAGAGCAGTGAAAACTGCTGGACCACCCATGCAAAAGTTGAGCTGTAACTCCCTCACTGTCTTGCTCTTACTGGTTAGTTCTTTGGGACCCATCCAAAACCCAGAGATTTATGGTGCCACATGTGCCCCCTGCAACCTTTATATGTAGCCTTTATCCCCCCAGCCCTCGAGGGTCTCAGACACTGCCCAGACCAGCAAACATCACCCAAGACAAAAGCAGCCCCACAGCTCCACTTGCGCTTCTAGACTTCTGCCTTCTCCTGCTTCCTGGCCTGGCAAATCTTCACTGCTTGGTTAGCCCATCCGTACCTTCAATCAGATTTTTCAAATAGGTACTCTTTTCCCACTTGTTCAGTAGTACTCAGTGGGAGGGACGATCCAAATTACCTAATTAGTAATTGCTGAAAACTAAAGTACAGAGTACGAATTTTATCTCAATGTCACCAAGAGAGAAAATGCATAGGTATCAGTAGTGACCACTTAAGCATGTGTAACTTAGGTGTCATTACAACAAAAATGTTAGCTAATACCTGTCTATTCCAGATTGAAATATATATCAGTAAAACTCAAACTTCAGGGAAAAATATCTACATATGAAATATGACTATGACACTGATAGAAAAACATGGGAGTACAGTATGAAGACACTGCTCATCATCTTCGCTCCATGAGGCAGACGGTGTGAAATGAGAACCAGAGATTTGAAACGTGTTGCAAGACTCTGTGAAAGGCATTAGAGTAAGTTCTACACAAATAAACCAAAGCAGTCTCCTGACAAATGACATTGGACTTATCTGTGAGATGCATGTCCTTATCAAAATGGAGTTAATTCTAGGTAGGTGATCTTTTTTAAATAAAATGGTCTCTGACTTACTAGCTACTGGTCTACCACCACTTCTTCCCTTTGCTAAAAGGGAGGCCCCACCGTGAGCCAGCATTTCCCACGTGGAGGTCTCTTGCTGACATCAACTTCCAACAGAGGGTAAATTTTGAGGGGAACCCCAAGGAAAGAGGAAGAGCTCAAGAAAAAGGGCCTAAAGGAATGACAATAGTGACAATGTTTTACACTTTTATTGTGATATCTGTCAATTAGTGATCTTAGCACTTTAAAAATAATTCATTTTATTCTAACTAAACTCTACGGCTTGTGCCTGTTATTTTTCCCTTTTATAGATAATGCAACAGGAACAAAGGTCACACACAAGTAGGAGTGGAGCTGGGTTTTACCCAGACAATCCTCCCCCAGGGCCGTGCTCAGGACACTGCACTTTTCCAGAATGTGAGGGTGGTGGAGAGTCCAGCTCAGGGAGAGAGACGGTGGTGAGAGAAGAAGGAGACTGGGCAGAGTGGATCACTCTGATGGACCCACGATTCTAGGAGAGAAAGACAAGGATTATGTCACTCATGGAAAATATTCAGAGTCTCTGGTTTAAACTTAAGCATCTCCAACTCTAGGACTGGTGGCTGGGAGTGGAAGACTAACCAAGCCAAAGCCGCAGCTGTGAAGATTTTCCTCTCCTGAGAATTCTGCGGGAGTTTCCCTGACCTCATGACCACCTCTCATCCTTTGCTGTTGTTTTTCTCCCTGGACTGACCGTTGGGTCCTAAGTTCTAGAGAAGTCATCAGAGTGAGTGGAGAATGGGCTTCATAAAATGGGAGATCTCCAGGATCCTCCCTGGATTTCAAGATGCCCAGAGAAGCCGGATCCCCGGTCCCGGAACCCCATCCTGCACCTCTGTGGGCCCTGACCTTGCGGAGAGCTGGGCTGGGGAGGAGAGGATCCGGATGAACTGGGCTGGAGAGGCTGGAGGGAAAGGGCGGCCTGCGGGGCTCAGCAGCTCCTCCGGTGGCGCCTTTGCCTCAGGCTGGGGTCTGCAGACTCCTCAGGTCTTTTCTCCCAGCGCAGCTGCCCTACGCCACCCTCCCCTAGATGTTGTCCCTCTGTCCCCTCCCCAGCTCTCCACACACAGTAAGAAGCTCCCAGGGTATGGGAGGGAGCCCTGGAGGCTGGGATCCCGCGGGGAAGCAGAGCAAGCTTGTCCCGAAGACGGGAGGCTGGTGGGGACCCGAAGGGAGAGGGGCGAGGTCTCAGGCTCCATGCGCCTCTCCCGCCCCAATGTGCGGGTTCCCGGGGCCCAGGCCGCCACTCCCGGGTACTTGGAGACCGCCGGGCTCCGCCTCCCTCCACCACGCGCGCCCTGGGGTCCTCAGCGGCTCCTTTCCTGGGCGATACGCGGTTCCTGCGCTTCCACAGCCGCGGGGAGGATTCGAGCGTGAAGCAGTCGGCGCCGCGGGTGGAGAAGATGGGGCAGGACTGTGGGCGCCCTGAGGAAAGTTCTTGAAGGCCGCAAGGAATGTGTTACTGACGGCCCTGAGGTTCCTGGGCTGGCATCACCACCAGGGCCAGCCGGCGAGTGACGTCAGGCTCCGGGCACAGGTGTCCCCCCCCCACCCCACAGTGACCCGCCCGGGTCTCCCAGGCGTGGGGGGCAGTTGGGGGAAGCGCTGGGGACATTTTGCTCCCCGTTTCTGCTTCAATCTGGATCATGACTGACTTCGGCTGTAACTAATCACAGAGCGGGGGAGGAGCTGGGGTGGGCGGGGCGACCTCCCTCCCCTTCCGTCCCCCCACGGGCTCACCCCTGGGCAGGTCCAGGGCCCCACACTTGCAGATGGTGCTGCGCGGCTGGGTGGTGGCTCCGGACGGGACCTTACTCGGGGGACACTTTCAGTCCGCATACGACAGGGAGATTTCATGTTCCTGAACGAGGACCTACAGACCTGGACAGCGGTTCAAAGCACGGCTCAGAGGATCCAGCGCACCTGGGAGAGGTTCTGGGTCTCGGAGGCCACAAGGGAACCCCTGATGGGTCAATGCACTAGGTGGCTGCTCAGACACCTGGAGCGTGGCAAGGAGATGCTGCTACAAGCAGGTACTGGGGTCCTCGGGACCGCGCGTCAGGACACCCCGGAGCTGGAATTATGTTCCCTGGAGGCGTCCCTATTGGAGGGAAGAGGAGACCCAAACAGTGTCCTCCTCCTCCTCAGCATTTCCCTTGTGGGGTTCGGGATTCTGCCCAGGCTCCTGAGGCTGTCCTGAGGGTGGGTGGGGAGGGAGGACAGAGAGAAGGAGTGCAGGGAGGTAAATAGGAAAGGACAGTAGTTACCCTTGTCAACAGTGATGCACTTGGGTCCACCTTCACTGGGAAGCTTTCTTTTTCCTGGTCCTCTGTGCCCAACAATTATATATACTCTTTAACCCAACCAGAAGGTAAAACACCAGGAAACGGAATCAGCAGAGACATAGTGGATGAAAGTACCACAAAGGACTGCTAGGTTCTAGTAGAACGTAGCAGAT